CATGCAACAAATTAAACTCATGGTTCCCCTTCCTTAATACAGGATTCAAAGCCAAAAATCCAAACTACCCTCCAATCCCAAAAGCCTAGATTTCAATTGTTAGGAGTAAGGGAAACAAGCTGATCTAATGCCATTCTCTCTGTTTGCAGACTTTAGCTTTCACGATCTAAATCAGACATCTTGTAATTTGATTATTAACACAAAAAAGACCTCAAAATTCACAACAAACTAAAGCATGCTTCAAGAAGAGGGTGGTACAGGTCAAACAAATCAACATTAATGTAATTGAACAATAGTGTGCTACACAAGTTAAGGCTGGAGAACACTTCACAAGCTAAGATTGAAGCTTCCTAAGTGTTACAAATCAGAACCTCGCAGCATTTGACTTTGAATAATGTCAAACAAATCATCACAAAGTTCTTTTTTCAAAACAGAAATGCTTGTGGTTATAGTTAGGAGTCACAACAACACTAAAGGACACCAGCTCTCCCCTACCATTCTTTTGGGCAATAAGCAAATGTCAGAGCAAGCAGAGATTTTAAGACATCTGGAATCAGGGTCTGCCTGAGAACAGTACTTAAGAAACAGGTCATCATCGGTGATTCCACTAAAGTCATATAATAGTAGCCTCAATATTTTTACTCTTTAGAACAAGAATACACTTATCACTACTTCACTTAATGTCTTTAAAAAAAAATATTTTCCTATTAATCAAAATTTCAAAAAGAAATTTCTGTGACTTCAAATAAGAGCCTTCTAATTCTTCCCATTTTATATTAGGCAACAAATAAAATGAGCACTTCAAGTGGTTATTCCTTTTACTTGGTTAAATTAACATGACAAAAAGTAGATAATCTTACAAACAATTTACAGGCAAAATATGCTGTAGGTAGAATAAAGATATTACCAAGTTTATGTATACTTTAGGATGTCCCAAAGCTCCACCACCACCATCGCATGATATCACTCTGCTTTCAACTTCACTCACAGGCTGCTCTGCTATCAAATCAATTGCAAAATTCTTGTTCACCTGTAGGAAAAAGAGAGAAATTTTCAGATACTTTCCCCACTCAAACAGAAAGCAATGGATATTTGCTGCCTTAAAAGCAGTTCCAGTACAGCCACTTTGAGAAGTTACTGCATAGGTTTTCTCCCACCTTCTCAAACAACCCTGTGCCATAAGCCAGATCAACGTACTACACACTAAACTCTAAAAAAGTAATCCCCTTCCCCTGATAAGACAGGCCACACCAGTGCTTGAGTTTATGTGACCCAAGCAGATTCAGCAGAAGAACAGAGCAGGAGCAAGCAGACAAGAACAGAAGATATTTAACAAACACTGTCTTTGTATTCTGCTTTAGTGACTACATGATAAAACTGTAAAAGAATCACTGCTGATAAACTCAAAAATAATTGTGAGACAAGTAAGGTCAGGCATTTAGAGTCTCTAACCACACACTTTATTCTATCACACACAGTAATCTCACAAAAACATGAATGGGATGCATAAAAACAAGTCAGAAAGACAAACTGTTCATCGTTAGAAAAAAGAAAAGCCTCTAAATGTCACTACACCACTCTGTAAATCCATCATATTCACTTCCTGAATACGCACATCACTGACATTTAGGGTTTTTTCCTAGAGCACACCTGCATGACCTGGCAAATGTAACCATCTCTGGACAGGCAACTTTTGCCTCAGCACGAACTACAGCACTCCAATAGACTTCACGACAGCACTGAGCAGACAACTACCACCACAGCCCAAGTAAAAATACTCCAGAAGGGGCCAGCTTTTTCAAAGGCAATGTTAAACACACATGAGTATCAAATATGTACACCCAAAGAAGGCACCATCTACTGCTCTGTGTATAAAGCTCATAAACATGCTGGTATCTGAATGCGGATGAAAGTCTTGGGAAACAGACGTCTATTATATTAATCCTCAAGAACTACAGCGGTATTCTTATATAGTTCCAGCACACTCTTTATCTTTCACCAAGTCTCTAATTAAGTCTCCCTGAAATCTGCATTTTTGGTACAGAAGTGGAAAAAGTCACTTTCGCCAGCAACAAATTTGTCTTTACCAAAAGAAAATGACAGCTTTAAAAAGTTAACAAAAAATTAAGTTTTGGTATTGAAGCAATTCACAACATCAAGAACCCTGCTGTCTTGGCCTGTGTTGTCAAGTCATATGTAATTTTTGCCAAACTGCATGGGCTTTTACTGCTTCTTTTATTAATGCTCAAAAACATGCATCTTTGATTTCATGGTAAAGAAGGAAGGAGATAGCACCATGATACCCCTTTGCTTCAAGCTCTGATCACAAGCCAGACTCAACCACCTGGCCCATACTGCAGGCAAAGAGAAGAAGTGAGGAGAAAGAACAGTCAACAGCATCGCAGGTGAGCTTTTGCTTCAGAAACAAGACAACATTCAGACTACAGACATAGATGTCAAACCCTGTCAATACCAGCAGCTGAAACACACTGTGGGACAATGGCAAAGCCCCTACAGAGAACACCCATTTATAAGCAAAGATGAGGATCATTTTAAGTATTTAAGGTGTAAATTTGTTCCCAATTTCACAATTAAAACTTAGCATTAAACCTTGCTCGGCAGACTTAAAGCTTGACTTTTGCTGGAGAAGCAAGAACCGGATTGAACTGAAAACCCTAGGTGTTACACACCACACAGAGTCTGAAATCACCTGATGGCCAGGCACATTAGAGGGACCCTGCCCTGTGGAGAGTTAGGCTTAAGAAGCATTTCCTATGAACTTACAGAAGTAGCACAGAAACAGGCAGTACACTTGGAAGAGACCTCCTTTGCCAACTATCCTTCCAGAAGTAAGCTAATTCAGCATTTTAAGTGGCATTTTCATTTAATTATTTTGCATGTAGAATCCCCATTTTTGCCACATAGCATGAGCTAAATTGTATCCATGACACAAGGAGGTGAACTCCATATGAAAACTTGAAAATCAGTATAATTAGTTCAGCTTAATTTGAAGAGAATAATTACATGCAACTATATTAAAAATCTACCATATCTGATATTTAATGCCTCCACTATACATAAACATTAACACTAAAGCACTGATCAGAGGCTCAGGCATCGAGAACTACAATTTAGATGAAACTATTTCTCTCCCAAAGGCCAGCTGATCCCTGATGGAGCTGTACTGGTTGATCATTTGAGAAAACCCAGTGTTAAAGGACTTAGCAATGACATTAAAAACATACGAAAAGTTTCTTTAAACAAAATCGGTTCCAAGCTTAAGATGCTCAAATGCCTACAACTTCAACAACCTAAATGCATGCACTGATCAGGTGTAGAGCAAGTCTTGAGTTTCCCAAGTTTGTCAAAATAGGAAGGTAGACAGAAGACACTAAGCTGTCTTAACAAAGAATTTTCATTGTAGTGAAAAAAAACCCAAACCACTGGAACTCAAAATCTAAACCAGTTTGGTTCATTTTGGCTGGGGTTTTTGGGTTTGGTTGTTTTCTTGGTTGTTAGTTATTCTGGGGATTTTTTGGTTTTTTGTTTTTTTTAATGCCAATCAGGTTGAAGACATCAGGTACAAAGGAAAAAAAAAAAAACACAACAAAAAACAAAACACAAACTACCCCCTTGTCTATAAGAAAAAGAATGATTTACCTCCTTCTGTCGTCCAACAAATCTAACTCTTCTATAATCCTTCTCATCGTATACCTACAACATAGAATAAACTTGATTTTATTTAAATAGCAACAACTATAAACAAAGAACACAAAGGCTCACAGACTAAATAGTTCGAACTGTTTCCTTGGTTTCAAGTATTATCATCACCTTACAAGTATGTACTATACAGGAAAAGTAGTTTCCATTTCTCTCACAAAAAAATAAATTTCACGTCATAAGGTAGAAAAGAAAAGGAATCTAGTGGTGTGGGGGTGTGGCATGAAAGCCACTAAACACAAGCCTTAGTTCTCATCATACAGGTGAACACAGATTTATTACTCATAATGCCTTTCCTTGATATCCCACTGTCATCTAGAAGGCAAATCAAAGTAGGAAATTCAAGTTTTGTATTTATTTATGTTCCGCTAAGTAACCACAGGGAGAGCCTTCCCACCTTATATCCACCAGTCGTGCCCCTCTCGCATTTCCACAGGGTAGGTGCCACACGAGCCTCCCCGGCTCGCACACTCAGTTTCTCCATTTAAGAGATAAAACGGAGTTACAAGGCAGTGACACAGGGGTACCTCCCACCTGTCAGCTCCTCGGCTGGCTCAAATGCCGGGTTCAGACCGGAACGCCCGGTAATGCCAATGACCCTGTCCTAATTAACAGGTTTGGTTTTTGGTTTTTTATTTCTGAAACCTGGGAACATGTCATCCAAGAACACTGATTTCCACGGCGCCTGCTAAACGGAGAATCACAGAGAATCGATCATAGGTCGGAAAGGACTTCTGAGACCGTCGAGTCCAACCACTGACCCAACACCACCACGGTCAACCAGACCACGGCACCGAGCGCCACACCCAGTCTTTCCTTAAACACCTGCGGGGAACGGCGACTCCGCCACCTCCCTGGGCCACTCATTCCAACGTCTCATCACCCTTTCCACGAAGGAATTCCTCCTGGTGTCCAACCTAAGCCTCCCCTTCACATCACAGCACGCCAGAGCGCTGCCCACAGCCCCAGCACACCATCTCCCCGCGGCGCGCCCGCCGCCCTCCCCGGCCAGCGGAGGGGCAGCAGCGCCGGGCCCAGCGCGCTCACCTGCCCAGTGTGCGTCACCAGCTCGCCGGTCTCAGAGACCCGCACGCCGTAAGGCCGAACAGCGGCGGTGACAGCGGTAGCAGCCTCGGGACGGGACAGCAGCGGGCGGACCCGCCGGCCCAGGCAGCGGAAGGTCGCGGCGGGCGCCGCCATCTTCGTCCCGGGCACGTGACTCCTGGCGGGCGGGCGGGGCACGGCCCTGGCCCCGCCCCTTCCCGGCCTTGGCACCGCCTCTCCCGGACCCCGCGCGCGCTTCCGGCTGCGGGAGGGAACGCGTGGCGGCGGTGAGTGCGGGGGGAGCGGCGGTGTGGGGTGTCTGCCTGCCTACCTACCTACCTACCTACCTACCTGCCTGCCTGCCTGCCTGCACCGCGGAGGGGAGAGGCAGAGGGTACCGGGGCGGGTGTCTTCACCTTTGCTTTGTCCCCACAGGGCACGGAGCATGCTGTCCCTCCTGGCCCGGGCCGCCGCCGCGGCGGGCCCGCTGCGCTCGCTGTGCCGCTCGCCCTTGTGCTCGCTGGCCCCGTGGGGCCGGGTGGCGGGCGGCAGCGGCGGGGCCCCAGCGCCGTACCAAGCCCCCCGTGGGCTGCTGGCCGTGGCCCCGCCGCCCGGGCCGCCGCTGCCGGCGCTGGTGGCGGGGCTGAAGACGAAGACGGTGCTGAAGAGGCGCTGCAAGGATTGCTACATCGTGCGGCGGCGCGGGCGGCTCTACGTGTACTGCAAGACCAACCCCCGGCACAAGCAGCGCAAGGGGTAGAAGTGAGCCCGGAACCGTCCCGGCGGGCACGGAACCAGCGCGGCGTTCGCCGGCCGGACCTGGAGCCCCCCTCGCTGTCCGGGACCGCGGGCTGTCATCCGGCTGGCTGCCCCCTGGCTTCAGAGAGCCTTCTGCCGGGGGCATGGACCGCGAAACGTAGCGGGGGATAATGTTTCATCCTAACCCAGACGCAGAGCGAGTTAAGTTCTGGACGGCCCTTGCCGTAACTCAGACCGTGGATGCTGGGAACTGAAATGGGAAGACAACTCCCAGGACCTGTCGTCATCTTAGTCGTGAAGCCTTACTTAAAATCGCCTCGCTGCTAAATTAGCAAGGGTGAAATTGAATCATCGGAATCTGAGGTGCATTACTGTTTAATTAAAGCAAAATGAAAATAAACTCAATTCTTACAATATACAATGATTTCTTTTCCTTAAAAAAAAACAAACAACCTTAGATGTTGAAAGCTGTGATAACCAACAATAGTTTCAAAATCAGGTAGACTCTTAAGTAGCAAATGATACAAAATATGTCACATTAAAAAATAATGTTCTAGCTTTTGCCTTGCTTCCTAGGTGAGGTAGAAATTTCTTTTGACTGTTGAGTTACAGCAGACATAATCCTATGTAGCTTCAGTAATGCCAACGTAAATAACCCTTTCTGCTTATCACTGGGTTTTGAAGGGAAATGGTGGTACTTTAGTCAATATAAGGTAATCAACACTTCCTAAAGTTTTATTGTCTTAAGTAATTTAATGATGTATTGACCATTCACAGTGTATTCAGAAGTGTTAACAGCCTCATCTCCCTCAAAAGAAATGTGCTAATCTAAAGTTTCCCAGACCTCATGGAAAATAAAAAGGCAGTACCGAGGAATCCTTGCCTTTTGGGTGGGTATTGTAAACCATTTGGTGCAGGTCTCTACAGCAAAGAAGGTAAAAAAAGACAATTTCAGATTCCACCTAATTTGCTTTAAGCTTCTTCAAAGCTTAGGCTCACTTGCATAAATCAGTGAGGCTTTAGAATTATTCTTCTTGTGTCCCTTGAAACAACTCTCTCCTAATAGATTTTGGAGAGAATGACTGAGAGCAGTAATGCCTCAGAGTCACATAAGCAAGCATAATGATTGCAAACTGATGGATTGGTACCCATGAATTAATTAGCCAAAATTGCTGCAATCTCCAAAGGTGTTCCTCGTGCTTCCGAATATGGCTATGCTTGAGGCAGCAGTGTTCAGTCTTCCTGTGAACTGCGAGTTATTAGCAAAAGGCACCAAACTAAACTTTTGGACAACTATCAAGTTACTGCTACAGGTTTGCCAGAGTACTGTGAGAGAGTGTCCCAGACTTGAAAGAGGTGAAATGGGTTGAACTCTTTTGAAGTTGCTGTAATGTTGGATAGTATGATGACTTGAAGACCTTTTCTGCCCAGTTATAATCCCATAACTTTACAATTGCATTAACTTTTACAATTGCATCTTTTTTTACTAGGTACTTCATAGACAAGGAGAAGCTAAGCCCGGAAAGCTGTGGCTAAGCATCCCAGAGGCAATAGTTACTGACTGGTTTTCCATATGCTGAGTGGCCTGACTCTTCACTTATCTATCTGATCACCGTAAATACGTGTGAGAAATATCTCAAAATAAAATTTGAAGACGGCCAAATAAAGTGAAACAAAGAACTTTTATTTTCAGCGTGCGCTGGGTGCGGTCAGGTTTGCCTCGTGCCAGGGCCTGAGAACACACCGAGATGGGGGGGGCAGTTCTTTTAAGGTCTCTCAATTTGCATAACTGTTCCCTTGTCCCTCCCATGCTCAGCTCTGCTCTGCTTTCTTTCTTCCGTAAAAGGCAATATAGCCTTTTC